ATATTTTCTTTCTCTTTTCTCTCTATTTTTTTCTCTTCTAGCACTCTACCACTTCCAGTAACAATGGTCTTACACTCTTCCCTAAGATTACCCTTCGCATCCTTCTCAAAAACCTCCATCTTTTTTATCAATCGCTCAATTTGCATCTCCATACTTTTGAATGCAGCCTCCGTATTTTTATAATAAGATAAGCTCATTTTCATAAATTGTTTGAAGGTTAAGCTTTCTGATCTTCTCAGATACATTAAGTTGTTGTTGCAATTGTTACTGCTGTCACTAAACTAGTGAAACACTATGTATCTCTTGTGGCACTAGAGAGAGTTTTTGTGTCCCTTTTGCTGAGGTGAAGCTCCTCTTTCACTATGCATCTCATTGTCATTTGTAGTCATATTGTCAATTAATTCATAAGCTTCCTTTGGAGTCTTGCACTTGATATTACCTCTAGCTGAGGCATCTAGCATCAATTTGGTTTGTGAGCCAAGACCTCCAAGGAAAAGAATGACTATCGTTGCTTCGTCAAAGCCATGTGTGGGCGTCTTTCTCAACAAGCTTTTATATCTACCCCACGCTTGACCTAACGTCTCCTCCATGCCCTGCCTGAAAGAAGAAATTTCATGTTTACCTTTGTTGATTTTAGATTGTGGAAATTATTTTTTCAAAAACTTTGGAACCACATCTTCCCATTCGGTAAAGTTATCTTCCGAGAAAGAATTCAACCATAACTTAGCATTGCCTCCCAATGAGAAAGGAAACAAACTAAGCTTTATAGCATCATCCGACACTCCATTGATCTTTACAATGTTGCAAGTCTCATTGAAAGTTGTTAGATGCTCATATGGATTTTCACGAGACAATCCATTAAATTGGTTGCTCTTCACCAATTGTATCAACGCAGGCTTTACTTCCATGTTTGCAACATTGACCCTCGGCCTTACAATGTTATTACAATGATGAGGGTCAACTATTGTTGTGTAATCTGCCAAAGTGTGCCTGCCATTATTTTCACTAGTCATCTCTTCAATTCTCTGGTCAGATCTTTGTGATGAAGGTTGTAAAAGTGTCTCTAGAGAAGGGAATAATTCTCTTGATTTTCTTGCTTCTAATTCTAATTGTATCCTGCATACACAAGAAAATAAAACCCTAAAAAGCACTTTTAAAACAAAACAAAACAAAATAAAAAAAATCAAATCAAAGCTAATCAATAATCACACAAATAAAATAGTTAAACCACGAGTCCCCGGCAACGGCGCCAAAAACTTGTTAAGACATTGGCAAGTGTAACGAATCGTATCAAGTAATAAACATGGTAAGACCAAGTATTGTTTCCCAAGAGACTCACAACCTAAACAGTTATGTGATTTCTTGATTAAATACGACTTGAGAACAAAATCTTTTGGTTTAAAATGCAGAAATTAAATATGAATGCCAGTGTTGATCAATTGACAATTAGAATGCACAAGTGATTGGTTTGTAAAATATGGAATGATTATGTTGTTTGGGGTTAGACTTATCTTATCCACTCTCATGTATTTATGAAATCGTCTTCTTCATTAATATTAATGTCACTTTCTAATTTACTTTAAACCCGATGTCTCGACGAATAAAGCCCATCCTTAATTACTAGTTTACAATGTCTTGTCTCCCTAGCTATTAATTCTGCATTATAAACGCATAAAAGCTTAAACGCAACCAACCCTCATATCCATATGTCTAGGCAATACTGTTTTTGGGAGAGATTCCCTAGATCTAGATTTCCCTACACGTGTCCATATCGACAAAATCAATTATCATGCTATGAATGAGTTAAACAAAGCAAGCATAGAGTATAGAGGAAAAACCCTAAAAACTAATGAACAAAGCATTTAAAATAAGAATCAATTCAATACATGAGTTTCAAAGGATTACATTGTTTCCCCAACAACAATTGATGTTTAGTTCACCATAGACATGGTGAAACTAGATGAATATTGGAAAAGAATGAGATAGAAAAACCCTAAAAGTTGAAGATAGGAGCTTCTGCCTCCTAATTCGCCTCCAAGAGAGTGTTTCTACGCATCTTATGTCAAAAGATACCAAGCCTAGGATGTCCAAATCCTGAAATAGAGCACAAAAAAAGTCCAAGCCCACGAGACTGGCGCTTAGCACCCCAACTTAGGGCGCCCAGGCGTGACTGCGAAAGCATCTCCGCTCAGCGCCCTTGGAAGGGCGCCCAGGCGTGAGCTGCGATACTAACTGGCGCTCAGCAGCACAAAAAGGGCGCTCAGGCGCCAAGGCAAGACTTCAGCACTGAGGGCCTCCAAAAGGGCCCTCAGGCGCCACCTACGGTCCTTCTCTCTGATGATATTCCAGCTTTTCCTGAGTTTCAGCTCCTTGATACTTCAACTCTTCTTCCAAACCATCCTAGTTCTTGTTAAAACAAGGAAAACCAAGCGTAAAACCAATAATTCCACCTTCAACTCTCTTATTCTCATAACTAAAGCCAAAAGCATGATTTCAAGCTAGTTTCTAAGTCATAAAGTGTGTTTTTAATATCAAAATTAAGTATCAAATAACGGTATTTTCAATCGTTATCAGGTAGCAAGTGCAAAGGAGAAATGACAAAAAATTGAGCCTTATTGTGAGAAGAAGAACTCCTGTTGGAAGAGATAGTCACTGATGTCAGCATCGGGATGGTGACCTCCTAGTGGCGTGGTTGAACGAAGGTGGCCTGACCGGGGAAAAAAGGATTCACAACTGAAGTGTGTGGTTCTACCTAAAGATTTAGGGTTTGAGTGTAGTTTGTGTTTATAAATAAATAAATAAATAAATATATATATATATATATATATATATATATATATATATAAAAGAAACTATTTTTATACCAATTATAATTAAAACTAGTATAGAAAGTTTTTTTATTACAAAAATGTCACCTTATTCACTCTGTATATTAGTTATAATTAGACTGGTATAAAAAATTCTTTTATTTATTACAAAAATGTTACTACATTTACTTTCTATATATATTATAACTACAACTTAAATAAAAAATGTTATGTTATTTATAATTATGTCTCTACGTCTCTTTTTATATCAGATAGATTATAACTAGTACAAATGGTCTATAACAAACTATGTGCAAAACAAACAAAAATAACTGCTTTATAACAATGGAGCCTATATCATTAAATATAGTGTGAATAACCCATTTGAAAATCTCCCACTTTCATCACGAAGTTTCAGTTATATAGCCTAGTAATTACAACTCTTCATATTCTAGAAAAACATATTATACCATAACTATTAGATCGCGCATTCTTTAATTTTGTCTTTTCACTTAATTACACATTATAAACATCAATAATGGTGAAAATTGTTCTGCCTAATTTATTTAAAATCAAGATTTAACTACCGTGAAGAATCTTATTTTCACCCTATTGCTATATCGTATCTTTATGTGGTGAGGGTGAAAAGGAAAAAAAAAGAATTCAAGAAAAAAGTGGAGAGTTTGTAAAGTGAGTGAAAATTAAATTTATTTTGTTAAAGTTGATTCTTCAAAATATATATATATATATATATATATATATATATATATATATAGAGGTAAAAGTTTGTACTTTTTCCTTACCTCAGGGCATCTCTCCCTCTTTGCCTTCTCTTTCTTCGATTCTCTTTCATGTTTCAATAATAAATTGTTCGTGGTAAACATGGCATAAGTGTAAAATATCCTACTCAAATTAGATGAGCAATTTTAAAGTAGTATCTTTTTTAGATTTGTTACTTATGTCGACCTTAGTATGCTTATTAAAAATTAAATATATGTATGATACAAATATATTAATATTAAAGTAATAATTTAAGAAAGTAATTGCACGCAATTTTAACCTCTAACATACAAAATTTTAAAAACATTATTATCAAATCTATTCGAGCAGAAAGATAAGATCATGGTGACGTTGTGATGCATATTATCAGAGAATAATGTCATACAACAACACTTAATATGAATAAAGATGTCATATTATTCGTGTGTGATGAGAATGTGTTGCTACTTTTTAAATTGTCATAACGGAGTGATGGAAAGTGAAGGAATAAATATTTTGTTGAGAAAAGAACGTTAAATTAGAGGAACTAAAATAGCATTAAAAGGAAATTAGGTGAAGGATGGTAGATAATTTTGAAATGCGTAAGAAGCAGTAAGTTAAAAAAAAAAGAAAAAAAAGAAAGAAAGAGGATGTTGGTTAGTTAGTAATTTGGGTTGTTTTGATGGAGGAAAAGGACAAGCATGGAAAAACGAAGACAAACGATGTTGTTCCGAAAAGAAAGAAAAAGGAGGCCCCTTGAGATGCCATGTAGAACAGTAACCCTCAGTCCAGAGAGAAAAGAAAAAGGGTTGGGTTGAGTTGGGAGAAGAAGGAAATGAGACGATAGAATGTTGTTTCTTTTAAGCTAAGCAATAAAGTGAGAGAGGGAGAGAGAAAGAGAGAGAGAGAGAGAGAGGGTGTCCCTTTCGAAAGGTGTGGTGGGATGATGTAAAGGAGTAGTCTTGGAAAGGGGGGGCATCGAGACAGTGGGTAGAAATGTGTGTGAAATGTAACCAACGGTTTGAGGATGTGACTGGGAAGTAAAAATGGTGAATATAAAATAAAAAAAGAAGGGTGAAAAGTGGAAGAAAGAGGGAGGAAGAGAGGGAGTTTTGGTGATTGAATGAGTTTTGGATGGGTTGGTGGGTGGTGGTGTCATGGTATGTGTAATGTAGTACAACAACACTGCTCATTACATTACATCTTAAACATTCATTCTCAAACATCTTATTCACTTCTCTTCTCTTCTCTACACTCTCTCATCATCTACTCTGGCATGGAACTCGAAATATTGAATGGCACGCTTCCACTCTCCACCTTTCACTAGCCAAACCCGCTATCCTCTGTTAAAGTCTGCAAGAGGGAGACACACAGGCCAACACCAAACAAAACTGTCTGACTCTGGATCCTCAAACGAATCATCATCATCATCAGACAAAGACGACAACCACGGCAGAGCAGCAACAACGGGGTTACTTTCAACAGCGGCAACGGAAACGGGCTTTTGCTGGTTCGGTGGAGCATGCAGGAACGACGTCGTGGAGGCAGGGGATGGTGAGAGGAGGTGGAGGAGGAGGAGGAGGGGAGATAGTGGAAGTTGAAGGGGGACACATTGTGCGGTCCACGGGGCGGAAGGATCGCCACAGCAAAGTGTGCACTGCCAAAGGGCCGCGCGACCGGCGGGTGAGGCTATCGGCCCACACCGCAATTCAATTCTACGACGTGCAGGATCGGTTGGGCTACGACCGGCCCAGTAAGGCCGTGGACTGGCTCATCAACAAAGCCAAGGACGCCATCGACCAACTCGCGCATCTCCCTCCCTGGAAACCCACCCTTCCGACAGCAAACCACCTAAACGACGACGAATCAGACAAAACAAACCCTAATAACCCGAACTCAACCACAAACACTAGCACAAACCCTGATGCTGAAATTCTGAACCAGTTCAACGAGAACCTTGAGAACGATGATGGTGGTGGAGGAGGAGGAGGAGGAGGAGGAGGTTCGAGTTATCTTCCCTTGGATAACGACGCTATAAGATCGTTCTTTCCCACAACGACGTCGTCGTTGATTCAGTTCCAAAGCTACCCACCGGATTTGCTTTCGAGGACGAGCAGCCAGGATTTGCGTCTCTCGCTTCAGTCCTTGCAGGACCCGATTATGCTCCACCATAACCAAAACGAGCACGTGCTTTTCGCTGGAGCCGGGTTTGATAATATGGGAGCGTGGAACAACAGTGGGAATGCTACTAATGATACTCATGGTGGTGGAGGTGGAGGAGGGTTCGTGGTTAACGCTCCCTCGCCTTTTCCGGGGCCGGCGACTGTTGCGCCGCCGGCGGTGGTTTTTGGCTATGGTAATGGGAATGGTCAAGGCCAGTATTTTTCTCAGAGGGGACCCCTTCAGTCCAGTAACACCCCGTCCGTTCGTGCGTGGATTGACGCGCCGTCGTTCGTGGCCGCCGCCGATCATTATCATCGGCATCACTACTTGTCACCGGCGGCTGCGGCGGCGTTGGTGTATCAGTCATCTCCTTCTTCGGCATTTGCGCCCGGGGGCTTCTCGGGATTCCGCGTGCCGGCACGAATTCAGGGTGAAGAGGAGCACGACGGCGTGTCCGATAAGCCGTCCTCTGCTTCCTCCGATTCTCGCCGCTGAACCGCCGATTGCGGACTTCGTTCCTTCAGTTGCTGACTCCGAAACCCTACTTGTGTGGTCTATTTCTGCAGCGAGGAAGCGAAGGATTCGGATTCGGAATGAATGGTTCGGTTCAGTGGAGTATGCTTGTGGAATGAAGAAAATCTGGGGTTGAATTTCCAGGTTTTTAAATTCTCCTGATTGTTATGATAAGTTTTTTATTATCATCATCATTATTATGTATGTCATGTTTCATCAGGGAGACTTTTAGGTTTCGGTATTGTTGTGTGTTGGATTGAATGTTTGATGTTTTGTTGCAATTTGTAGTGACCGTGTTTGTACTTGAATATCTAGTTTCTTAGTTTTGGTTTGAAAACGTGGACGCAGCTGTTACTACTGTTACTTATTCACTGCCTAGTTTGCTCCATTTTCCTTGTATTTCCAACTTAGTGCAGAGCCAGTCTCAGGATGAGGTTTTATCTCCATTGCAAAACAGGGCAAATTCCAAATAAGCCAACGTATGGATAATTACTAGTGTGTGCTAAAGCTTTGAGTCGGTTGTTACTGTCTTGTTTCGATAGAAGGAAAGAGACGGGTATTTTCTTATCGTTTGCAAAATGCCCGATTCGCCAATGGGTTGTCAAAGAGATGAAAGAGGTTGGTTCTCTTTGCTGTGATAGAAATGAGTGTGTTGTTACCTTTTTACTGCTTTCTTGTGCGACCGTCCATCCTTCTGTAGCTTCCTCATACTGACAAAAGAATTAAAGACGATTCATTCTACTGATTTATTATATCAATGATCTATCTCTTTCGTGCTTGAATTTTGGGAGCATTTGGCTGATAAGTCGTTGTCTATGAACAGTAGAAACTGTTTTACAAAAGAAAGGAGTTGCGTGTGAGTTGATTCCCAGCTTGTTAAAAGGGCAATTTTCCTAAATTCAGTATGGTTTTTTGCTTTTCCTTTCCCATGTCTTATTTTTGTTCCTCTTTCGCCAGTTTAACAATATGATAATTCGTGATAGTGACACAAGGGTTGATTGTGTGGTGTAAAAAAGAAGGGAAACAACTCAATTCATCTTGATATCGGCTTACCCACTTACTCAGTTAATGCTCAAGTATTCTCCAAAAGGAAGCTCCAGCTTCTGGTACAGTGGTTTAGTTTTTGCCATTGGATTTGGAATATGATCTACCCTATTGGAACCAAAATATCGTTTTCATTTTTTTATCAACTTCTCAGCCTTGATGCAGTGAGGTGAGATTAAGTGGTTGGGGAATCAGTACGTCGTAGTCCATACTCCGTAACCAATGAGCTTTGTAGATAGATCCTAGTAGGTATAACAAGTGGCGAGTGGAAGATGTCTATAGAGATGAGCACAACGAAGCTCAATTATGGGAGAATTCACTCGTCAGTGCCACCAGAGTGTAGTTCTTGTCCGTCTGTTCTTGGTCCCCTACCCCGTGAAACTCAGTGCCTCAAAATAACATTTTCTAGTATCCAGCTGGAAATTTTGTTTGTCAAGGGGATAATGTAACGAGGAAACAGAAAAACCATTGGCCTCTATTGAGATCGTAGTAATTGTTTTTGGTTGTTGGTGCTGCTAGTCGGTTGATAAATAACATTACTCCAAAAAGTTGAATTGGTCATTAAGCAGCACACAACTCTGGGCTACCATATATGCAAAATGTGGCAATAATTAATGACGGTTTAACCGTAAAGAGACCGACCATCCACTGTCACATTTTGTCTATTTGAAATCATTCACCTCAGGAGGATATTTCATTTAATTTCCCTGCTTCTTTGCAGTTCCAATATGTAAAATATAAATGTACTCGTGGTAAAGATTTGAAAATGAAAGGGATAATAATACCATTCTCAAGTTTCAACTAAGACTAGGGAATTCACGTTCATAGTCATATACACCATGCCATAGCAGATAAGTGAAGTTCCTAGTGTAAATAGTACACACCAATTGGTAGATTCTCGCCAAGCCAAATATGGAAAAAAAATCCCCAAAAGAACAAGAAGAAACCATAAACCATCAAATTAGTATGGGCTATTTGGTAACGATGTTCTTTGACTGCCCTGAAGTACTGTTTTCCTTTCCTTTTCCAGTTTCCCTCCCGTTTAACAGGGAAGGTTTCGCCAAGGCTGCTTTGCTTTCACTGTAGTTCATCTTGTTGAATTTGATTTTTTGATCATGGCCATTAAGTTTCTTTGTTTTGGAGGGCTGAACTCGAACCTGTACTTCCCAAGGACGTGCCGCGACCCAACGCTCTGTCCAGCTCCAACCCCAACTTTCTTTACCAAGGCTATAAGAAGCCTGACCAAAATACTGGCTACAGTTTGGCCTCCACTGCAATGTCACGTTCATATAAGAAGTCAAATATTGATTTTCTTTCAGTATGCTATGGATGAAGCGGGCAAAACAAGTTTTGTACCTGATGGGAAAAGGCATATGCCATGGCTCGTTCTCGTTTAATTGCTGCTTCCTCTCGCTGATGTAACCTGCAAAGTATCTCTTCCATGGTTTCAGAACCACTGCACCACTCCACCTGACATAAAAAAGGCATGTTTTATTAAATATTGAAAGGATATCAAAATTGACCTTTATAATGATAATAGTAACACTTTGGCAACAATTGAAATCAGGTAATCACAGGCTAAGCTACCTCAAGCTCCTGAATCTTAGCCTCAAGTTTTAACTGGTTTTCCAATTTCTTTTTCTTAATTCTGGCTTCTGTTATCATACAGATTCTTCGAGCTCTAATTTGTTCTTGTATTCTGCTCCATGAATGTATATAGTTCAGTGCGGTTGCTGTTTGCTCTCTGGCTAGGTGATCTTGAATTAAAGCTTCGAATTTCACTGCTCCCCTTAGATGATGTAATGTTCTTCTTGCCTGCATGGGAGGGTAGGGAGGAAGTTATCTATTTTCACTACTAAGTCAGCGTCATAATTTGCTTAAGATTTGAGAAGTATCTATCTTTAAATAATTGTAGAAGCATTATTTGCCGCCATTTTGGGGCATCTAAAGTGAAGCTCATAACCAGTAGGAAAAAACCCATTCTTAATACAGACATTATTTGTAGTAAGCAATTGGGTATAAATAACAGATGAAAGAAAACAAGAGTCGTGATGCCAGTAGTTGACTCAAGTAAATGAGTTTCCAAGTACTGTTGTAAAAGGCTGCAAAAGAGTAGCAGATAATGTCATCATATCCCTAGGACCCCTTCCGGTTCCGGAGCAGAGCATTCATTTGATTCTTTTCAGCAGTAAAAATTGAGAAGGAGAAGAAACGAAAAAGGCACGAGTAAAATATAAAATCAGTTATAAAGTTATTACAAAATAAATTATATTCTGCAGAAATTGGAACATAACAATACTGTCATTAAGTTTAAATATTTCCACTTTCAGTTTTTTAAGAAAGACATCACAAGTTTCATTGATAATGTACTACATTTTATGCAGTAGGTGAATCGAAATTGCACCACACATCACATTGGTAAGTTTAGAAGGCACCATTTAAAAAAAGAGTTAGCTGTTGGCTAGCAACATATCTATGATTCCAAGTTTAGAAGGCATTACTTAAAGATATTACTATTATTTTTACAGCAACAAGGGGAAAATGAAGCAAAATCTTCTAACCTTTGCAAACTTGGTTTATCATCAAGGAGATTGAAAACAGATCATTGTAAAGCAACGCAATGTGTGAACACTTGGATATCAGTGAGATAGATGCATTATGAATTTAGACCTTTTGTTTTCAGTTAATTGCTTTATTTAGCAAATTACTAAATGTCTCCGCTTACTTCACAATGAAAATTGTGATAAACATATGCCGGAATAAGCACACGACACATATATTGTACCATAAATGAACGGAATGCATTTTGAATCCTAGTAGCTGCCACATCGTCCATCAGTCTTGATGGAACTGTCCGATCCATCATCAAACCTTCATTGGGAATGCCACTTGACTCTTCACGACCACTTTGCTTCACGTTTGAACATTCATCTGAATTTTCATCAGTAGACTGTACCTATTCAGAAAGTGACAAGAGAACAAACACCGGCAGTGGATTGTATATCAAATTATCAGCTTTGAATTTCTCCTCAACTATAATCATTTTCTTAAAATTATATGGTTTACTTAAAAAGCCAATGAAATAGTACAAGTCAAAGGGAATAAGTAAAACTCAAAAATATTCAAATCTTCCCAAGTAATGTTAATGCTGAAAGAATATCTAACGAGAACCAGAGTAATGCTCTCCAAACTGTCAAAATGTTTAGGGTGTCTCATGCTTAGGGTTTAACTTGGCTGAGTTACAGATTTTAGAGGTCTCGGACTAATCAGTGTCTCTTGATAGGAAGGGATGAAAGCAAAACAGTTTGGCTTGTATAGCGGATACTGGGTAGTATTTGGAATAACAGTAAAAGGGTTGATCTTTTGGTGGGGAATATGAAAAATTGTTGTCTTAGGTGCTAGGAATCTTCTGTTATGACAATGTTTGCTTGTATTCTGTATATGGCACTTCTTGTATCAAATTCTTGTTCTTCTCTTTATATATATTAGTATTTGCTGATAGGAAAAAAAAAACACTAGAAATAACCTTTTCTTGTTTGGATTTCTTCGATTTCTTCAATTTGACTATTATCATAAACCATTTCTTCGCACCCATTCCTTTTTCTCAAGGAATTAAGAACAGGAAACAGCCAACTGCAAATCTGCATAACAAGTAATGTTCGAACAAATTTTCGTAAATCTCATGGATAAATAAATAAGCCATAGTTTTGTGAACGAGGAGACTGCACAGAAGATCATAGATTCTTTAAAGATTTATCATTTAGAAAAGTAATGTAAAAGACCAGTCAAATTTCCTAGAAGGGCAAGGGCTACCAGGAAATTTCTCATGTGACAATCTTATACCCCACCCTCCCTTTTCTTCCTATTTCACTTTGTTACGTGGTTTTCTTTGTATAAAACTTACAAAAGAAATTTCTCTGTTCATACTATTTTAACATAAGGTACTAGTCTTCGAATAAGCCAAAAACTATAGCACCATCTTATAAAGCTCACATTGTGCCTCTTCTAACACTAAGTATGCTATAACAGCAGTATATACTAAAACCTATCCAAATTATATTTTTCAAGTCATGTCATACAGATTTTGGTTTCCTTCAATTTCAAAAGCCAGAACGTACTGAAACCACACACCTCAATCAACTATGAACAGACATCATTATATATTGCGAATGAAAGGAAGTGGGACAACAGACAACAGAATCATTACAATGTCAAGGCAACAGACAACCAAACCCAACAAGCATAAAGTTTTGATGAACCAAGCAAGAGCCTAGAAGTGCGGAGATAAAGAATGTAAATGGGAAGGGACACATACCAGGTTGAGAGAAGAAAAGAGAGGCACAGAATGGGTTTGCTTGAAGAGGATGAAGAGTGGTGGTGGGTTGTAATGATAAGAGACGTGGTACATTGGAATACAGCACATTAAAAGAGAGAGAAAGAGTTGCATAAGAGTGTGTGACAACCCAACCACGATGAAGCAGATGTTTGATCTCTTTGGAAGTTTAGGAGTCTAGAGAAAGGTGAGGGAAGGTAGTAGTCATGTCCAGTTGTGTTTCTGAAAATGAAATACCATAATTAAATCATTGAAACAAAATTTAATCAAGTTCTAGGAAAAGATTGGTGTGTCACTCTGTTCATTAGACAACAAACTAAAATTACTTTTTTTCTAATGTCTAATGTCTATTTTAAAGAAAATTACGCATTATTACTATGGAAGTGACATGGAAGCTTTTTCACAATAACTTTTACGAGCCACGAAAGTCGTTTGATGAATTGAAATATACGATTTTCTTGATTTTGTCGTGCATAATAAATATATCGTCTTTGATATGTATGTATATTTATATTAAAAATAATATTCGTATTAGCTTTAATGTCTCAAACTCCTTGATATTTATGTATTTGTATTACATAATCATAGAGATGAACGAGAGAGATACGAAGGCCAAACTTAGAAATGAATATTTCTCTTTTCGTGTACTCAACCAAAAGCATAAAGGTTGAATATACAAGTTGTATACATGGTTATGGAACTAGTGAGTTAACTCATTAACTCGGTTGAGTTTGCTCATTAACTCGGTTGAGTTTACGAGTTAACTCAGTGTTTTTTAGTTAATTCATACTTGGATTTGACATAGGATTGGTGGAATCGATAGGTTTGTCTAAAATCACAAGCTTGCTTCTAATTTGGTGAGTTCGTGAAGAAATTTTTAAAACGTAAAATGAAATCTTTTTTAAGACTCACCAAACCAGGTTTTTTGTTTTAGGGTCAGTGATGAAGCTCATCTTCTTGGTTCCTCTCTTACGATTCTCTTACGCTGCTTTTGTTCTTGTGATTCATCTTCTTCATTCATTCTTGCAATCTCATACTCTTGCTTGTGGTGTCACTTGTGTCCTCGTTCGTCACTAGTACAAAAATACTATATAACGTTGGTGTTTTCGGCCTATCACATCGAATTCGCAGTCGACGTCATATCAGAAGACGTTAAATGGACGCCAAATTCGAAAAATTTGACATTAATAGACTTTATTTGACGTTGGACATAGAACAATCTGACGTCACACAAAGCAAATTGGCGTTGGATATTGCTCTATGTCCGACGTCAATTAATGTTTGTTACATTTATAACAGACGTTAATTGACTTCTGTTGTAAGAACAACAAACGTCATTTTATGGGTTTTTTTTTTTAATTTTTTGTCAATATTTTCTTCCACTGAAACCATGAAAAATCAATATACAACACAAGAATACACCACAAAAATTTTCAGAATTTTAGAAGTAGTAACAACCAATACACATAAAAAATAAAAATTGAAACTAACCGTGAAGGTGAGGCAGTAGACAAGTGCCACTGTGAGGGTGAGGAGAAGACAACCACTGCTGAAGAGAGAAAAAAGAAAACTCAATGGTGCTCCAAATGGTGTTTATGCATGAAACTAATCGGTTAAAATGAAAGGAAATCATACATAAAGTTATTAATCAACAAACATTTATGTTAAGTGGAAGAAACATTACCTTTGGTGGTCGCCGAAGAGAACTCAACGGTGCTCCAAATGGTATCTATGCACGAAATTAATCGGTTAAAATGAAAGGAAATCATACATAAAGTCATCAATCAATGGACATTTTTGTTAAGTGGAAGAAACATTACCTTTGTGGTCAACCAATGGTAATGTTAAGTGGGTGCTCTGGTTTTCCAATGGCCGTTGTGAGTATGTCGTCCTAACCATGGCCAACCAATGAACCTTGAGTCAGTTTCTCAATTAACTCATCATGCACCACATACTCAAGTTTAATCATAAATCACTTCATATTATCTATGGTTTTGGGTTTAGGGTTTGTACTTACTATTTTCTCATATATTAATTAGATTTCTTGACCAACAACACGTATCATGTCTTATAAATGATCACTCATTCATTCGTCCACTAATCTATTTCTCGTGACGTTATAGGCTTGTGTAATACTTCTACATGCCAAGTACAAACTATATAACTCCTCATTATACCAAAGATGATGAATAGATGATCACTCACGTTGCCCAAATCCTAACGTATTTGATTAAGACAATGAACAGAATGACAAAAATATGTCTCGTTCACAAAGATTGCATGTTCTTAAGCATATTGCAAGAACTCAAAAACTCACTTTTCATACTCTTCATTGATGTGGCGTTCATACATCCAACTTCAATCCATACTATGTTTGTAACAAACTCTATCAATCTTTGTTTTTTTTTTAACTCTCACATGGTGAGACCCTACCCATTCAAAAAAAAAACATTTTTCATAATTTGTTAACACATAAAAAGAAGTCTATCATAAATTTGATAAAATTTTGACAACATTTTGCATTGGTCTTTGAAGTACATGAAATGAAAGTGATCACTCATAACCACAATCAAGTATGCATCTAGAGAATAACACAAAATGGTCTCAACTAAAACTCTATCAAATTTATTCATAAACTTTAATGTACACATTATAACGAATTATGAAAAATAATGTTTAAAAATTGTTTAATCGGACAATTTGAGATTTAATACAAAGGATTAAAAATATAATCATTTGTACTAAATCTCAAACGGGAACTAACATTCGCTCCATCTTTAAATAAAATTATAATAAATATCAGAAAAACTAAAATTATATAAAAATACAACATCTAATAAATCAAAAATTAATCAACATATAAACTAAAAAATTATTTAATCAATCGCTTAATAATTAATTAAACATCCAATCAAACTAAATTTGATAGTATAAATATTCTACAAATTTAAATCAAACAAACATGTTAACAAAAACAAGAAAAAAAGTTGTGAGAAAAAAACTTCTCCAAACAAAGTTTATCAAATCCCTAAACAATTTGGCCAAGTTAAATAAAATAACGGAAAACATAATAGTGAAAATCACATGCAAATCAAGACATATCAAAACTTGTAATCACGTATATGAAATATTTATTCAATATTTAGTGTACTTGCACCATCGCTTGAAAATGACTTTTACATTGTATTTTTTAATGTTTTAAACACCATCATACATCAACCATACTACAATTTGACGTCTAATTATATATGATGTCAGTCCTCCTAGAATCTGACGTCTAATGGTAGATAAAAGGTTATGCTTATCTAGGTTCTTTTAATGTTTAAAACATTGTTATACGTCGGATCTACTAAAATCTTATGTTTAAAGAGATGACATCGATCTTGGATTTTGACGTCAAGCTCTTCTAGAACATTTTCTTCCACCTGGATTTTTTAATGTTTGAAAAACATATGATATTGTCTCATCCAAATATACATATAAAAGTGATATGACGTGGATATCTTCTAACTATTCGACGTCAAACTCTTCGAAAACATGACTTCTAGTTTATTTTTTTAAATGTTTAAAAATCATATATGATATTGGTCTCCTATAAAAAAAAATTTCTAAATGTGATATGACATTGGTCTTCTTGGTGTCTGATGTCATACTCTTCATTTTATTTACAAAAAGGTTACCGATATTTTTTATGTTAGTTTTTGTTTGAACTGATGTTGAATAGGAGATGTTATAAGGCCATTTTGCACTAGTGTATAATTGAAGATGTTGATGGCTGTTTCAGGAAATGATGGATTAAGGCGAGGATGGAGAAGGAACCCCTGTGCTGCGTGTGTGATGATAAGTGATGGAGGAGTAGATGAAAGATGCTAAAAATATTTGAATTTTGGGTCTTTGTGAGAGAAGATGAAGTTGAGTAAAGAATGAAGGTGTGATGAGTGTACAGATCTGTTAGTTGGGTGAATGATGGAAGATGAAGGTGGTTGGAGATAGAAATGGTGTGAGTGATGTTGTGTGAGTTTCCTGTGGTAGTGAATGGGTGGTAATGGACTTGAATTCTGAAGGGATCATATTAATGGAGACAAGTTCTGTGTGTGAGAGAAAATTAGATTGATGTTATTTATTTTCCTAGTGAATATTTCTGCAAGATCCACTAGTGGTTGATAGGATGGCTCAATAGTGAAGCAGATAAAACACTCTTAAGTTTCAAAACTTTTCTTTAGTACTAATATTTGTCTATTAAATTAATTAAAAAAATGTTTAAGAAAAAAAAAGGCCTTAAAATTTTGTTAGTACTAATATATTTTTATTAAATTAATTACAAAATTATTTATAAAAAATATTTCAAAAACAATTATTTTAGTACTCATATATTTCTTTAAATTAATTATAACTTGTTTGAGAATAAAAATTAATTAAAAAGTATGCGTTAATGTTTATTTGTATTAAAAATTATATATAATTGGTTAAACAAAATTTCAATAATTATCTTTATTATGTTATGATGAATTTTGATTTCGTATTTAGTGATCTCACTTCTTGTCTCTCTTTATTTTTATTTATTTTTTATTTTAGAGTGTTTCTTTAGGGGTTTGTCATATTCTATTTCTTGAATATCATGTTATTTATGTATCAATTTTTTTTATCTCATTTCTAGTTAGTGTCTTTTTCTTTCTTTTTGTGTTGTTATTTTTATTATATTTATTGAATTTGTATTGGGATCAGAAATGCATTTCTTTTTTGCTGGTTTTTGTTTTTAAATACTTTTTATGAGTTTTGAGAGTTTTTTATATATATTTTGATAAGAAGTTAGAATTTTGGCTTAGATTGAATTATAGAACTATATTAACTAGGTTAAGTTTAGCTTTTTATGGATAATAAAGATGAAATATATAATAAAATAAATAATAAAAAAGAGTTAGAATGGAAAACAATGTGAAAATTAAATGAAACTAATTATGACAACTTAATAAATAGTTTGACATAAAAGAAACTTGAAAAACATATTTTAAATCATTCTTAAATTTGTTTTAGGTTTCTTAAATCTTTGAATCCCTCGTTATAGATAATTAGTTTTGATGACCAGCTAATACAAATATAATATGGTTTTTATATTAAAAGTATTTTTAACAAAGAATTTAAATAAACAAATTCAATAAATTCATTATCTTAAAATTTTAAATNC